ATTTTCAGGCACGACAACCGCATTCTGTAACCGAACTCACACCCGTAAATTTTCAGGAATCACAACTGCATTCTCGGAAAACCCACGCTGTGTGAACGGAACAGGACTGGGCAACTAGTTGTCTGTCACGTCAAACAGTGCGAGAGAGAGCCGCTCTGCTGCACAAACGCGTTTTTACCGTGTGTTGCTTGTTTTCATGTGTGGTTTCAGTAACTTACAGTGACGGAGAAATGAGCTGTGTGTCATCTGAAAGTTTTCGATCCAGTCTCCACTGGAGCCGCTCCCGTCAGTTTGTGTTCTGCGCGTGACTCAAATGCTTGCTCTCCACCCAAATATAAAAGCTGCTGTCTGTTAATGGAGATTTGACGGATGAACTTGCGGCTCGATTGGACTCGTTGTTTCAGAAAGTGATAAAACTTTCAGTTTTATGGACGTTGCCATCTTTGACATTACTCTAGTCACGACTCCTGTTGCACATTCATACAGACAGTATTCGAGAAGCTACTGTAAGTTGCTGTGTGAACGGGACATTTCGAGACTCACAACTGTAAGTAAATGCGGTTGTCAATCCCAAAAACTGACAGTGTGAACATAGCCATAGAGAGGGAATATATTGAAATAAATTAGGTTAACTATTTCAAGAGGGTTACCAACGGGTATGTTTAGGGTTAGGAGTTGGTTAGGACAATAATTAAGTGTATACAATTAAACAACTACATAATTCCTTAAAAATAATAATATACAGAATTGAATAGCAAGTGCTATAGAATAGTATGAGCTGCTAATATATACATACAAAAAAATAATAAGCTCTCTTAGGAAGTATAGTTACCCTCGCTGACTCTTTGTCTTTGTGCTACTTCTGTGGTCATATCCAAGACGTAGCCATAGACAGAGTTGGTGGACTGGGTCAGCTCATCCACAGATCTTTTGAGCTGATCTACAGTTGGCCTCACGTTACGTTCTTGCTTCTGGAGGGTTTTCTTTAGATCACAACCTGTGGGACACAACACACACTGAATAGAGAGAGAGAGAGAGAGAGAGAGAATATATTGAAATAAATTAGGTTAACTATTTTAAGAGGGTTACCAACGGGTATGTTTAGGGTTAGGAGTTGGTTAGGACAATAATTAAGTGAAAACAATTAAACAACTACATAATTCCTTAAAAATAATAATATACAGAATTGAATAGCAAGTGCTATAGAATAGTATGAGCTGCTAATATATACATACAAAAAAATAATAATAATAATAAAAAAAAAAACTAGCCTGTAGGGTCCTAGAAATGCGGTCCATAATAAAACAGGCTAATTGAAAATGCACATTCATTCTCTGCCAGCAGGAGGCGCTTTCGGAACGGCAAAAATATAACTGTTTCCCTGGTAACAGCAGAACACAAAGCTGCACAGCACCAGACTCAGGGTTTCCGCGGGTCTTCAAAAAAAAGTCTTAAAAAGTCTTAAATTTAGTTGTATCAAATTTAAGGCCTTAAAGTAAAATAAAGTCTTAATTATGATTTCAAGAGGTCTTAAATTTGGGGACGGAAAGACCAGAATAGGACAATAATTAAGTGAAAACAATTAAACAACTACATAAATCCTTAAAAATAATAATATACAGAATTGAATAGCAAGTGCTATAGAATAGTATGAGCTGCTAATATATACATACAAAAAAAAAATAATAATAATTAAAAAAAAAACTAGCCTGTAGGGTCCTAGAAATGCGGTCCAGAATAAAACAGGCTAATTGAAAATGCACATTAATTCTCTGCCAGCAGGAGGCGCTTTCGGAACGGCAAAAATATAACTGTTTCCCTGGTAACAGCAGAACACAAAGCTGCACAGCACCAGACTCAGGGTTTCCGCGGGTCTTCAAAAAAAAGTCTTAAAAAGTCTTAAATTTAGTTGTATCAAATTTAAGGCCTTAAAGTAAAATAAAGTCTTAATTATGATTTCAAGAGGTCTTAAATTTGGGGACGGAAAGACCAGAATTGCAAGATGGCTGAATGTGATGATTAAACTTCAAAAGGCTACGATTTCATGAAATAAACATAAGCGCTGCACGTTCAAAGTCCGGTGCTGCACTGCTTTGTAGGGGTGGGAATCACCAGAGGCCTCACGATGCACTATTATCACGATACTTGTGTCACGATACAATATTATTGCGATTTTAAATATATTGCGATATTCTGCGATATATTGCAATTTATTACCTTTTTCCAACTTCAAATTGTCCCCAAAGGAAAACTTTGACAACATCTGTTTTAACTAAAAAGAAACATTTCTCAGTTTATCTCACTTCAGTTTTATTGTTGCAGTGCAAAATGGGATTGTCAAGCAGACAAACTGACCAACACTTTCATGAAAACCTGTCATAAATGTTGTATGCACCTGGCAAACTCAACTATTTGTATTACAGTCTAATCTAGTCCACCTTAATTAAATGTAAACAGGTATGCACTGCTGTGCTACTACAGGTATTTTGAACAATGCAACTTGAAGTCATTTTTATTTAATTTATTTTATTTTCTTAAATGTGTCTATATATAATATTTATAGAGTTTTAGCTTTTAGTTTATTACTTTTTCTTATTTGTAAGTCGCTTTGGATAAAAGCGTCTGCTAAATGACTAAAAGTAAAATAAAGTAAAAGGTAGCATTATTTTAGCAGCGTTGCCCAGTACAGTTGAACTAGCCTACACCATGTTACAGCACAGTAGCGCTACTGCAAACCGGAACAAGTAGGCCTATACTGCATAGAAATTTCCTGTCAGCGCGTTATTTGAGTGGACTTTGCTTTTCCGATAAGCATGAGCGGTACACGAGCGGAACGCACATTCATAGATCGGAATATTGAGCGGAGCTGTAAAGAAATTTATTTTATTATTCTACCAAATAGTATAATAAAAGATCAATACTTGGCGTCCGTGTATTGATACAGAATTGCCGCGGAAAATATCGCGATACTATGCTGTATCGATTTTTTCCCCCACCCCTACTGCTTTGTGTACAGTAGTTACCGGGGAAACAGTTATATTTCTACCAAGTATTTATTGTCCCTCAGAGCTGCATTAAACAGTGTGTAAATGCATCTAAATTCCACTTCTAATGCAGCTTCCTTGTTTCCTCTGCATTGCAAAGATCAATTTTGTTGATACGGATTTCATTTGCTTGGTAACAACCCAAATGCAAGAATTTGACTCAAGATGGTGCACACTTTTAGAAAAAAATGGCTTAAAGGTAAAAATGCCCATAAAACTTGTTGGAAATTATTAATTTCTATCACTGCTGTGAGCTGACCACACAGAATATGAAGAATATAAAAAACATTTAGGAGTCAGCTGTCAGCACAATTAGAGATAAGATATCAGCACAATAACACATTCAGCAAAATATTGTCTAATTATCGTTATCATAGACATTGCCCTACCCCGCTCGGTAGGTATTTTATTATGGTATTAATTTTATTTGTGCAGGTCTTAAAAAGGTCTTAAATTTGAGCTTAAAAATTCTGCAGAAACCCTGCAGACTCTAAACTTGCAGCACTAGGGTTGGGTACCGAAACCCGGAGTCAATATGGCACTGGTACCTATGTAACCAGTATGTACTAGAACCGAATCAGAACGCAGATTTTGGTGCCACTTAAATGCCTGAGCGATCGATTGAAATGTTTGTCCTGGTTCTCCGAAATGGATGTAAGAAGCTTGGGCGTCTCTAGGCCATTTTTAGCGGGGCTATAGCGATTAGCTCCATAAACTGTACACAAATTCGTGATGGCCTCAGAGTCAGTCCACTTTAAATTTCATATGAAAACGGTGGCAGACTTCGTCTCCTCCCCGTCTTTCAGCGCGCTCTTCAATCCGCAGACTGCGGCGGCGCAGCGCGAGCGGACTCAAACCTTTTATAAAAGCATACTTTTTTTAACGCTGCTATTTTCATTTGAAAATTTAATATAAAACATATTACAGTGCATGTGGCATACCATACGTTCAGGCACCGGTACCATTTTAAAAGTATCGATTTGGCATCGGTATCGTAAAAAATCCAATCGATACCCAACCCTATGCAGCGCTTGTGTTTATTTAATGAAATCATAGCCTTTTGAAGTTTAATCGTCACATTAAGCCATATCGCAATTCTGGCCTTTCCGTCCCCAAATTTAAGACCTCCTGAAATCATAATTAAGACTTTCGTACAATTTAAGACTTTTTAAGGCCTTAAATTTGATGCAACTAAATTTGAGACTTTTTAAGACTTTAAGACCCCGTGGAAACCCTGAATAATAGACTTCACTGTGCTTCTAGGCATTGATAAAGCCTTTGAGACTGAAAGGCTCCAGGAAAACTCTTTTTATGCTGAGCTAATCAAAATGACCACAGCTGATCACAGTTGAAAGTCAAAAGGCTTTGTGCGCCATTGAGAAGGTGATTCGCTACACCTGATTGACTTTACAAGTCAGTTTTAGGAGGGGGGTGATCTTTTTTCCAACTCAGTGATTCTGTTTTGTTTTTTTCTGACATGTTGGTGTTATATATTTCACTTGGATGTCTGTCTTCATTTCAGGCTGCTAAGCAACAAAATTTGATTATTTTAAAGGGAGGGGGAGGGTTGATTCTTTTTTAACTGTAGGTCTATATATTGTTTTTGTGGAATGGAATTACTCATTGTGATAAGATTTGTCACGCCGCGCACCCCTAACCTGTATTAATGGTACAACGCAATAAATCAGTACCAGTAAAAACCACTAGATCAGCCAAGCTAATGTCAGTGCACCCAAAACTCTATCGATAGCCTTCTTAATGGATAACAAACAAACAAAAAAAAAGAGCTTTTTTCCTGTGAATTTGAAGTTTAATTTCAGCAATTCTGTGTGCATCTCTTTTGGGGTCATTAAATTGTATCATGTACATACAGGTATAATACCAACTACCTTGTGCTCTAGATACCGGTACTGAAGACAACATTTATAAAAAAATATAAAATTATATTTTTTTTACCAATTGTCCAAGTTTATCCACATTGTCCAGGAAATACTTCACAGATTCACCCTAAAAAGATATAAAAAAAAGACACACAATCATAATTAGGTCTCCATAATTAGGTCTCCAATATGTGAGCTTTGGTGCAGAAGGTGCAACTTTGAATTTATCTTGTGCTTTGTCCCAATTTCCCCCGTTTTATCCATTTCCTGTTACACTATACAATAAAAAAAAATAATTGTTATTAGTTATCTCTTTCTTATTCTCTCTCACACACACACACACACAGAGTAGAACATAACTATACAATATTTTCCACCAGATTTGCTGGTCCAAGGCTATGATATACTAGGTTACTCTGGCCTTATTCATAAGCAAGTTTACCTAACACAAAATCAGGAAAATGAGGATCTGCTGTGTGGCCTCTTATTGGCTTGCTTTGTGGGGAATGCAAATCAGCCTTAAGAAGAGACAGTGACTTGGTCACCAAAAATGAATGTTTATCACTAAATAAATACGGATAAACATGTTAATCACAACTTGAACAACAATGGAGATTTTAGTTGGAAAATTTGAGCTAAATCCTAATCTCAGTCACAAGGGTTCTACCCCTGAACATGCATGATCTTATCTTCATATCTGAAATGCAAACTATACTCACGCACAGAGAGAATGCCCTCATTGTCATGAGTAAAAAGTCACTTAATTTGTGTTCAACTCATACCTGTGCATTACTCTCAGGTTTCAAACATTGTAAAATAATTGTTATTAGTTATCTCTTTCTCATTCTCTCTCACACACACACACACACACAGAGTAGAACATAGCTATACAATATTTTCCACCAGATTTGCTGGTCCAAGGCTATGATATACTAGGTTACTCTGGCCTTATTCATAAGCAAGTTTACCTAACACAAAATCAGGAAAATGAGGATCTGCTGTGTGGCCTCTTATTGGCTTGCTTTGTGGGGAATGCAAATCAGCCTTAAGAAGAGACAGTGACTTGGTCACCAAAAATGAATGTTTATCACTAAATAAATACGGATAAACATGTTAATCACAACTTGAACAACAATGGAGATTTTAGTTGGAAAATTTGAGCTAAATCCTAATCTCAGTCACAAGGGTTCTACCCCTGAACATGCATGATCTTATCTTCATATCTGAAATGCAAACTATACTCACGCACAGAGAGAATGCCCTCATTGTCATGAGTAAAAAGTCACTTAATTTGTGTTCAACTCATACCTGTGCATTACTCTCAGGTTTCAAACATTGTCCATGCTACGCTCACAACATATATGACTTCTTGAGCGTAATCAGTCCGACAATATCAAAACACGGCTGCTTAATTACATTCTAAATATATGAAATATATAAGCACACATTACACCATGATTAATGCTTTGGCGGAAAAGCTTGATAGGAGTAATTATGCAAGTACACTCTGCTTATCTCTCATGATTCATAATATCAAGCTGTTTAACAACAGATCAACATTCCTTCAAGTTCACGGCCCCCACAATTACACAAATCTTATGAAAAAGTGTGAGTGGATTCTATATCCAAAACTTTACTTCACAGGGACTAAGAACAACTGAAATTATCAGTTCAAACTATGTACAATAATTAATAATAAACAAAATAATGAGTAATCATTTCATATTTACCAGCTGAAACTCTCTCCGTCTGTCGTAGGCATTCTGAATACCACTGTCTTGCCACAGGGCACAGATGGAGGGCAGGTAGTTCAGAAAGACTTTGGTCTCCACCATCCCTTTAGCCATCATGGATGAGCGGGTGTCAAAGGCCATCACTGTCTCCCCGTGAACCTGATTCTCAGGATCTCCCCAAGGGATGTGCAGCTTCTCACGGGCATCCACCAGCACTCGGACACCTAAACAGACCATTAGAGATATTGACATATTGCATTAATCAGGTTACTATAAAAATACATTTGAGGCTGCTGACATGATGTTCTTTAAAAAGAAAATGAAATAGCATTATTTTACTATGCATTCTCAGACCATAAGGTACCATTTTGTCAACATGAACAAACTTATGAAAATTAAAGTCCTTTTATTTCCTCTTTTTTATGAGGTCAACAAGGTCAGATGGGCTACAGTGAGTTCTATAACTAAAATTATACAGTATACAAAAAGTTATTATAAAGTAATAATAAATATACTTATTATATAAAATGACTGTACTAAATATGCATATCAATTTCAGCACCCAAATAGTGAAGAAATTGTTTTCCTTAATCCTTAATTTAAAAGTAGCTAGTAACATAAGAAAAAACAAATATTATTCGACATGTAATAAATGATACTAAAAATTGTTATGTAATACGTTTTGACTTAACTGAAATCAGTAAACACCATACTTATATTAATTCATGTAAGTCAGAAATGGGAGCAGATCAAACCTAAGCACTATTTAAACAGGTTAATCAAAATAATTCCTTAATTTTCCATCCTAAATTATGTAGCCTCATTTTTTCGTTTTTTAGCCGTTTTGTCAGGTATGTCTCAAGAAACAGTTGAGATACATATATCAGAATAATGTCATAAAACAATCACACATCCAGATGACTAACAGACCAAAGTAGGCGCTGTACTTTCTCTAGAGGCGCCAAGTTCACTGAAAGTATTATGTGAGATTTGAACATAGGCTACATATGTAAATGTTTTAGAAACAGTCGTATCCGTTTTCGAAGTCTAACGTTACATATTTTATCTGAACATGTATAATTGGTGTTCAACAAACCCAACTGGCCTTCGCGTCGTCTGTGGGCTGGGTGAGCAATCGAACATTTGCTTAAGTTAGGCGAAAGAAGTCGATAAAACACATGTACCTGCCGCTACAGCAACATTGAGATTTCACTGAGTATTCCTTTTTAATAATGAACTTGTCTCTTTCGATTTCAATCTACTGGTGTGATACCTTTGATAACATTGCTGTAGATTGTAGCCCGGAACTCTTCTTTGGCCCGCTGATCGAAGTCCTGCCCATGAATTATTCAATGGTGATTCCATCCATTCAGAATATTAAAGCGTCTTGTATATGCAAAAAGAAATATAAATAAATAAATAAAAATTATTACCTGGACCAGAAACAAATTATTTTAAGAGTATGCAAACACTGTCCTTGTTTTGGTAACAGAGGAACTTAAGAGGAACTTCAATTGAATCAATTAAAATCGCGTGACATTGTCATTTTTGCTTGTTTGAATTGAATTGAATTGAATTTATCATCATTATTCTTATTATTATTAGCATTTATTCAGCGTTTTCAAGTCCGGATTTTTTTTATTGATTTGACACACCATGTACACTGATTTAAATTTTTGTGATTTTTTTTGTCACTTTCTAGATTTTGTTCTTTTGTTTTCCAGGTACAAAATGGACTTTTATTATTAATTAGTGCCGACTCCCAAAAAAATATAACCCACTAAAATAAAAAAAAATAAAATTAATTAATTGAAAATTATATTCTAAATTAAATTATAAATTATATTATATTCTAAATTTAAAATGTAAATGTAATAGCTTCATTACAATAACTAAAATGAAAGTGGTGTCAAAATCAAACGTTTCGACCACTTTAAAATGAATTAATGATGAAGAAAAGTTGAGCTCGTAAAAACTCCATAAAAAAATGTAAACTCATAAGATCGATTTAGAAATAGAAGAAATTGTTGCAATTTAAATGCATTGTAAAGATGTTATGTCATAAAAATGAAAATGCTGTATAAGTGTTAATTGTGAATTTAGCAGCTTACTCTCAGATAAGGTCACTGTGTGCTAATGGTATTAGTCTAGCTTTGCCATCAGCCTCTCATATAATGCAGTCCCTCTTTTATCACTATGATACTTCAAACTGTATGCTTGAAGTGATCCCCCACAGTGTGATCTACTAGAATATGTTTTATTAGTGCATTACTTTGCTCTTTGCCAATGCACAGATAGTAATGACCCAATAACCCGGCCAAGAGCTGTCTGTGATCCAGACCAGGGTGCAGCATGAGTTCACAAACAGTCTTCAAAAGCCAGAGACCCTGACAAAGCAAGAAAAACTTAAAACAGCTGAGTCCCAAATCAATCACTGAGTATATTTCAAAGAGGTCCATAAACCAGCAGGGATGACTTCACGGTGGAATAATTTAGTCAGATGTGCACACAGGCTGCCACAAGGTATTAAAAAAGAGATGTTTTTATATTGTACATCCCATATCTATATCACTTTTTTTTGCATGCTAGGTGGAGAACGTGGTGTTGGAGATGCAGGACCCCAAAAGTGGAGTGAAATCTCAGACCCAAAGGCTTGTAATCACCTCCATCCCACATGCTATAACAGGTGAGATCATCAGAAATAGCCGCCTTTTCACATTAGCTGATAGTATTCCTCAAGAAGGAATATTTACAGGGTTCAAGCTGATGAAAACTATGAGATGTAAGACACAGCATTTGTAATTAAAGATAGTAGGCTCACCTACTCAATTGTATTGATTTCTGTGGTTGGATTACTCCTCGGGAGTGCTAGTGCGGTCCATGCATTTAGAGTCTGCTTATGTGAGTCTGAGACTGAAGAATCTATTGCCATGACAACCTCTTAGCAGCTGGTTGCAATGACTCTCTCATCTAGGCTGCATGGTTTCAGGGAGGAGAGCTCTTGTAATCTCCACCGTTCGTCTTAATGCTGTCAGCCAGCTACATATAACATACGACTTATGATTAACTTAGATTTGTGTTTGCTTAAACTTAATTGGCGCCTCTGATTATTCACATCAGTTTTGATATAATTTATATAGTAGAAAGACACCTGAGGTTTTTATTTAAAAATTCATTGAAATGATCTGGTATGCTCCTCAGGCTAGCAGACACTAATGAAGCCACTCAGATTCACCCCTGCAGAGATCTTCTCATTAGTCTTCTATCACGAGAGCCTCAGCGGGACACAGTGGTGTACCGAGTCATAGTGCGATAGCTATTTTGAGAATGCACCTTTGTTCTGTGTCCAATACTCACTGTTGTTTTCACCTTAAATGCGCTTTACGAATCTCTCATTTAAAAGCCTGCTAAATTAATAAATCTAAATGACAAACTTACAAATTATAAATACATTATATACTAATTATTCTCTGCCCCCATTTTTACTTCCAATTCAGCATATTTATTTTGCGCATACTCCTCTCTGCCACTTAAAGCTAGGCAAAGTTTTTCATAAACATTTTTTGTTATACTGGTTGAAAGTTTCTTCACAGCCTGATCAACCAAAAATTAAAGTGGTCTAATCTAATCTATTCAAAGCTCAAATTTGAAGCTTGTAAATTTGTCAAAATACACAAGCGTAAACATTGGCAGTGTTTTTACAAAGATGGAGGAACTTGATGAAATGTTTGCGATAAAATTGCAGAGTTTCTTTTCGATAAACTTCTAGTTAAAAGTATTCCTAATATGTTGGAACCTTTATTGAAAGTAGCCTATTTTACGTGTTGAGACATGCCTTCACTTTTATAGACCCATTGGAGCGGTGTTTGTGATGTCTGGCGGGGCTTAACACACAAAAGGAGCATTTGCATTAAAGCAATAAGCCCCGTGAAGCCGTGGTTTACAGTGAATTTATAACAGCTAAGGGGCGTTGTTAGGCACGACGCGAAGCTTTTATTAAACGGTTATTCCATATATGTAGTAAGGTTTCACAAAATAAAACAGAGCAAATAAAGTGTAATGATATTAATAAAAACATTATTCTTCCACCAAACAATGTAGTTCCTCAGAATCAGTTGTGGTTGCAACAAAGTGGTTGCCGAGCAACACACAAACATAAACAAATGTGTATGTTTGTAGAGTAATTTACAACAGCTTCGAACGTGGCTCAGCCTATCAGAATCAAGGACCGGAACTATCCATTTTATAAAGATCGTTTAAAAACAAGCTTTATTTTTGTAGTTCCGCTAAGTGACACTCGTAGCGGAGAAATTATTTTTTATATTTCTTTTTTTATTATTTCAGTATAGTACATTACTAAATGAAAATGAGAAATGTTTCCTTGGCAACTAGATGAAATAATTGTTAGATATATTTTTATTTCATATTTACTTTATTTCAAGTAACAAAAAATGTTTTTTTTATGGTTTTAGTTTTGGTTGTCTATAATAACCCTACTTGTGTCTTGTGGTGTGTGTGCTTTGCTGATGACTCCTGGTGGGCACATTCAATCTGTAGGCCAACTTTCCACTGATACAGTCTTTTATTGTTCTGAAATGTTTTACTTGAACTTTTAACATATTTATTGCGTATATTGTTCTTTCAGGGGAAGATATTGTTGCATGGCTCGTGAATCGATTCAAAATAGATGCTACGGGTAAGTCAAGTACATAGTTTTTTGTTTAGTAATTTAATAATTGTAAAAAAAATATGTCTCAGTCCAGATCTGTATAAATATATGTATAAACAGATATGTATAAAGTATAAATATAACCAGATATGCTTTAAGAAATATATTCTATTGCTAAGAAGTGCATTGCAATGAAGTGGAAATCTGATACTGTTATTCCCATAAGTCTATGGTTATCTGAGGTTAATAACTGTATACCCTTGGAAAAATTAACATACTGGCTAAGAAATAAAAGTAAAGTATTTTATAAAATTTGGCAACCCCTTTTCCGTTATATGGAAGACACTTCAATAGACCGGATGGATTCTCTTTTCGAGTGAGGTTTTACACAGTAATAACTATGATATCCTGTATCATCCCAATTTTATTTATTTTTTTCTCTTTTTCCTTTTTGTCTTGTATTGTCCTGTCTTGTGCAAAAAGTTGTGTTTTGTATTTTTTGTTTATATTACAGTTCAAAAGCAAAAATAAAATATTCCAAAAAAAAGAAATATATTCTAGTGCTATGCAATTTGATGTGGGATGCTGTACTGTTGATTTGGGTCTTGCTTAGATGCATTAAGTAACTTTCTCATTCTAAATGTTTAGAGGCCCGAGCTATGGGGACCATGATGGTGACTTTTGGGTACATCTATCCACTACAAGATCATAAGAGACTCATCCTTAAGCCAGACACATCCCTGTATCGCTTTCAGGTAACTTTCACAAACAACTTTCAAATACTGTGATAGCACTTATATCACATATATTACCATCACAGTTTCCACAAAAATATTAAGCAGCACAATTGTTTTCAGCATTGATAATAATGAGAAAGGTTAGGAATGATCATGTGATACTGAAAACTGGAGGAATGGCTGATAAAAAATTTAGCTTTGGCATTACAGAAATAATTCACTTTTAAAAATATGTTACAATAGAGAGCAGTTATTCTAGATTTTGTGATAATATTTCATAATATTACGTTTTTTACTGTTATTGATCAAAGCATCCTTGGTGAGCATACGAGAGTTCTTCCTTCCATATGCTTTGTACTAATCTTTTCCATTTCTTCTTCCAGACCCCATATTTTTGGCCTGCGCAGCAGTGGCCAGTGGAAGACACAGACTATGGTGTGTAATCATCTTTCATTTTTCATGCATGCTGATAGGTTGTCATAGCAATAATTCACAGTGAGGTTATTCATTATTCTTCAAACAGGTCTGAGATAAAGAATGTGATAAAATGCTTTCATGTTGAGTCATATCACATCTTTAAATTGGCTTTTACTGGCCAGGTCAGATGTTTATTTGTGTATTTCCAGCTATTTATTTGGCAAAGAGAAATATACGCAAGAAAGGGATGTTGGAGCTCTATGAACAGGTAATCGTTGTCTTAAACCTCATCTATTAAATATACATGTATATTAATTTCTCTGAAATCCTGTGTTGTAATGCAGAGGAAGAGGAACTCACTATAATAAATGTTATGATAAATTACTAGACTTAGGAATTAATAAAGACATCAAATTTGTGTGTTTCTTTACTCAGGAACAGTACAACAGTCTTTACAAATGGATGAATCACAAGTGGGATTTTATTGTAATGCAGGCCAAAGAGCAGTACAGGTGGGTCACACTTA